CATCTTCCCCTTGAAAACAGGAAAAGTTGATTTGTGGGGTTTGGTGCTGAAAATTTGATGAAATGTGTTGTCGTCGACAACGAGTCTATGTTTCTACTCGATAGTTTTGCAGGAAGTCGGTCAATCACCCGTCAGCAGATTTTACGCTAAACACACAAAAGCGCGATTAATATAATGGACAAAGGATTTAAAAATATGTCACGGTTTCCCGCTACTTTTCGTACCGGTAACCTCTAATTCAGTGGTTCTTAACCTTTTTGGATGTACCGAACCCCACCAGTTTCATATGCGCATTCACCGAACACTTCTTAATAGGAAAAATAAAATATGACTTTTTTTCTGATTTTTTTTTTTTTTGGACCTCCGCCGAACCCTTGAAATTGACTCACCGAATCCCTGGGGTTCGATCGAACCCAGGTTAAGAAACACGGCTCTAATTGCTGTTTTGCATGGAGAGTATGACTATGAGTACCGTATACAAGAGGCGTCACTGGGGTTTGTTTCACTTGGTGCGGTTAACTCATGGTGTCACCCCTCCTTTTTGTTCGGATCCCCCAACCTCCCAACAAAATCTTCTCATGTACTTGCATCAAGTAATTAAATTTTTAAAAAATTAAATACATACCGGGACAGAAATATTTCCATACAAATACAAAGACGGTTCCGTCATAAAAAGAAGTCAGTAGGCTTTACTACTAATTACGTTCATTAAAATATCCTAAGTTTTGCCACAATACGAAAGGAGAAGAAAAAATGCTGTTTTGTCAAAAAAAAAATACTAAGTGACAATTTTTATAAAAATGGCAAAAATTACACTGACAACTTTATTTTTAAGACGTTATGACAACAGTAGTGTAGCTGAGGTTGGTGTCACCCGGTACGGTAAACTCATGGTGTCACCTTCCTTACCCCAACTTCAACGATGAATTTCTTTTCTAAAATAAGTCCACAGTATAACAGTGAGAAGGAAAAAAAAATAGCTAACTGAAGATAGGAGTTTAATGTATTTAAAATTGTCCTTCAGGTCTTTAAATCTTCAAACCTGTCAATCACTTTACCAAAATCAATATCCTTCACCGTATCACTTTCAATTGATAGTAGAGCCAGATCAGAAAGCTTTGACTGTCTCATGGTGGATCGTAAATAGTTCTTGATAAGTCTTACTTTTGAAAAGCTCCGCTCACATGAATCCACAGAGACATACAGATCGTAAGAAATAAATGAAGGCTTAATGGGGGTATTGGAAGAGATTCTAGGAAGTCTGAATCAGTTATGAATTTGAAAACCTCAATAATACTGAACAGTCCATGAATTTGTGAAATTCAATATCAGCTGCCTTTAGGTGTCTTCTAAGCCTTTGTATTGCCTGTAAAAGTTCATCTTCTGATCATAGAAATGTGATAATTTTGGAACGGACTCTTCTTCACTTGCTGACAGTTGACTCTTGGGTTGAGCAGCCCCAAACATATCTGCTACTTCCTTGATCGCTGATGATCCTATTTGGAGTTCAGAATGAAAGCGATCAATACACTCCAGCATCTCAAAACTGTTTTCTTCTCGCACAGAGAGAGTCCAGCATACTATTAATACTTAATTGAATTGTTCTCTTGCAATTCTTTTCTTAAACCTTAATCTTCTCTCTACCGAAATTCCATATTGCAATGGAATTATGTTTAAAGTGCCTTTTCAATAACATGCTCCACCCAGTGACAGCGCTTCTCGTGCATACACAATGTTATTAAGGCCTCAATGTTGGTCACCTCTTTGTTACTGTTACGAGTAAAGCCTTTAGTCTGCAGCTAATGCTGCCGAGTATATCATCCCAAAAGTAGATGTAGCAGATAAACGTGAAATCATAGACAGCAAGTAAAAGACCTTGTGCTTTACCTCTTGAATCCAAATTTTCAAGAGGATCCCACAGAGCTTCAATCGCCGCCACACATTTATTAAACTTATCATTCACTGTTTTAACAGCAACATGATGAGCACTCCAACGTGTTGTCGACATTCTTTTCACCGACATTCCACTTTCCAGTGTGTTCAATTTAAACATCTCAATGAGTGGATGCAACAAAGAAGGAAAATATTCTCTCATGAGAACCGGTACAGAAAAATATAATGAATGAAGCATTTTGGTTAAAAAAAAGTGTCACTTACGAAAATTACCGAAGACTTCCATCAGCTTTGAATCATGTTTAAAACGGTGTTGATCTGATCCAAGTACAGGGTCGCTTCTTTTCTGACGCATCATCCTCGAACTTTTAATTAAGCACTCATTTGGAGTGGTGTCACCCGGTGCGGTCCGCAACCCTCCCCCCCTAGCTACGCCACTGGATGACAATGTATAGTTTAACACCCTGCACTACTTTAAAAGGTGATCAAATATAAAAATATTGAAATTGAAAACACAGTGCCCATGTTTGATAATTATTAGCAAGAGCTAAGTCAAATATTGATCTTTAAATCGATGGAAAGTTAGTTTAATTCCGTATTGTCCCGAGTATAGACATAACTTTTCCCATAGATAGTAATAATATACCGGTCATACAAGTAATAAATAGCATCAAATATAAAGAGCATAACGATTATTTGTTGGTTCCACTATTTGGGGCCATCCATAAAAGACGTCCACCAATTTTTTGCTATTTTTTACCCCCCCCCTCCCCCTTTGTCCACTTTTGACTTGACTAGGGTTAGGGTTCGTCTTGCTCCACAGCATGTTACATCTTTACATTTGATGATCTGCAGAGAATATTGAGACTTGCACATGATTCCAACACCAATTCACAGAGGGAGACGGAAGATTTGTGCTTGTGCTGCTTGGTTCAACATACTGTGCGTGCACATTATAGCCATCAATGACAGCCTGACCCCTAACTTCAGCGAGTATTTCCCCTGCCTTTTTAAAGTTTGCTTTTTCAAAGTTTTGGTCTATAGTTTTACCATTTGCATCCAAGTGGGATCCAAAATGATCATGGGGAAGAATGAGGCCTGACAGGTCATGAGACAAAGGGGCCATTCGTCGTTCTACCGCATTGTAGGCACTGTGACCCGGAGCATTACACGCCATAAAGAAAGCATCAAGATTGTGCTTGGTAAACAATTTATACGCAGCATTCAATGTTTTTGGATAACGTGGGTTCTCGTATGGGCTTCCATCAACGGTAATAATTGCTATAGGCTTTACTAGTCCACCATTTGTACATGCCACATTCTTGAAAATATCAAGAGAGACAAGTACATCAAAATCTGCAACATGTGATGCAGCAGTACTGGAATCATGTTTACCACTCCTTATTGATATGGATGTTGGTCCGGAATAGGTCACACGACCATCCTTGATAATACATGCAGCATAAACTGAAATTTGTTTTTTAGATTAAGATTGTATTTTTAAATTTAAATATATTTTACATTTTTTAGGAAAATAATTTGTTGTCCTATATCTAATTTTTTAATAAAAAATAAAGTCAAATTCAAATATTCCAGTCATTTTTAACCCCAACACAAAATAAAAATCATTAAAGATTCTCTGGAAAAACTCTAAGAATTTAACCAAACTGTTATTTGAGATTTTATTGCATCTGACCAATCAAACTTTAACAACAGATTTTTACAATAATATTCAAGCGTATTAACTATTACTATTGAAAAAATCGTTTCTAAATTTAACAACCACTCAGTTTGTGAAAGATTTGTTTGGGTTTGCATCCCAACTCTTTTGTCATTAAACTAGAAGTTTTTAGCAGTAAATTTATGCAAAACTGCTGCACTCAAAAAAACACTACAATGTGGACATCCACTTTGTCCTAAACCCCCTCCCCCCCCTTGTCCACTTTTTGCTGAACCCCCCCTCCCCCCTTTTGTGTGGACGTCTTTTACTTTTATGGATGACCCCTTTCCTTGATTTTATTTAAGTTAAAGATACGGCACCAATTACAATAATTACAACTGTAAAAAAAAATGTTATAAAATGACAATTTAGTTTTTTTTTATTTTTAAAATATATTTTTTTCGTTTTAACACTTTTTTCCGGAGGTGGTAGAAGTTGATTTGCCTTGTGAGGTGGGAGTGTGCACACTTCTACCAGTGAGATTGCATTTATTTTCCCTATACGGTTATAGGGTAGAAAAAGAATAAGAAACGAGGATTGACTATACTATAACCGCTTCTTTAGCGTTTCGTCCCTGATCACACTTCAAGAAACTCAGCGACACTCAATCCTTAATTATGAACCTCTCCAATTAACTGCACCCAATACATCACAAATTTGTTTAACCTTTGCAATCTAAATCAATCCCTCCCCTCCAATGGTACACCAGAGCGCCACTGACATTTTTCTACTTGTAGTTCAATAATAATAGCAGAAGTAAATATTCCTTTAAAAGTGTTTTAGATTATTTCATTGAAAAGTTGGCTTCATTAGTTATTTATTAGTAGTTCAATATTGTACCGCACCGGTACTAAAAGATATTGAGACGGGAATTAAAAATATTAATTAACTTTTAGTTGTTTACTGTCCGACAGAGCTCATGGATAATTATGGCAAAAAATTATCTTAGTGGCTCAGTGCCTAATGGTACATCCGTGTAATATATGGATGGCCCATAGGGAGTTCATTTGTCAACGCATCATTCATTCCAACAGATAATATCAAAACAATGGGGAGATACCAATACAGCACCAGTATATAAATATCAGACCTGTTTACTCTTACGATTTTGGCGTACAATGTATGATTTTAGGTCTAAACATTATATATATACTGTATGTTTATTTTTTTTACTATAAATATAAGGTAGTGAACGATTTTATGATGATATTGTATGATTTTAAGAGTTTGAAGGTAAACAGGTCTGAAATATGTAATAAAGAGATGATCTCAAAAATAATTATTGCAGTTACCATACAGCACAATTCTGCCAACACTAACACACCCCAAACCACATCTGTTAAGGACAACCATAAAGAATTGGCTAAAATTCAGTCCATTTAATTTAAAAATTAAAATAAAACTTAATTTAAATAACAGTCACAACTTTCACAAAGAATTAAGAAAGTCAAAATTTTGATTGTAATGCCAGAGATTATAAATTCATTTATTTATTTTTTTTATTAAAACAAGATCATGCAAACATCAATCAGAATACATAAAGTTATGCAACAAAATTAATTACAAACATCCCAAAGTTAACTAAATTTTATTTGTATCATGCATTTTGAATATTGTACTACTTAAGACCCATTAAACTCAGGAAATGCAGGAGTGTCCACCCCTCCCCACAAAAACAAAGCTATTTTTTTAAAAATTTAAGATCAATAACAGACTTGGTGCAGAAGTACCATAATTTTCATTTAATAAAATTGCCAATTATAAATATAATTAACACTAACACAAATTAAAATAATTATAAAAAAACCCGGAACTAGTGAAAACAGGCTCATAGCCTAAGTTGCCAGTATTACAAAACTCCACAGTCTGCGATGATGACAGGTTTTGAAGGCTTTCCAGATTGTGACCCATAAGATTCCATCTTCTTGACAACTTCATTGTACCCTGAAATTACCTCACCAAAAACAACATGCTTGTTGTCCAACCTGTAAATAATGAAATTGAAAAATGGATGACAAGAACATTATTCAATCAGAAACTCAGTTGTATTTACTAGTACCAGTCATTTCAATTACCTTCAAAAACAAACTACTATACCTTAACTTTCTTTCAGTTCAAAAACCTGATGGTTTTATATTACAATCTAAGCTCCTGGAATCAGAATACACAATTCTTTAAATAACAATGTCACTAAGCTACCAGATGGCACTGATTTATCTTAAAGTCCAGAGATGCGCTAAACGAGATTCTAGATTCTAGCGGTGATGTACCGGTGAGGGGTAGCACTAATTGGAAATCTTATAAAGAAGTTACTTCAATGTATGTTTTATCAAATAACTAGTATATGGGAAGTTCACACATTGTGACGGCCGCTGGTTGGCCGGATAAAGCTAGTAATCATCAAAATTTGAAATCTGCAGCTGTTTTCATGAATAACCACTTCAGTAATATTCTAAATTTCTTTTTGCACATAGTGCAAATAATATTAAAAGTTAAAGTCTAAACCAGGACTGCACAACTCAAAACGTAATACTTTATGGAAAAACTTGTGCAGGCCAAAAGAAAATAGGACAGGGCAAAAGCTATTAAGAAAATAATAAGAAAGAATATTTCGTTACTTCGCGGGCTGCCAAGTGGGAGCTGGCGGGCCGCATGTTGTGCAGGCTTGGTCTAAACCAAAGGGCAGTGGAATCTTACAATGCATGCAAAAGGGAACCGAAAAGTTCTAAACAAGTAGAAGTTGTTTATATCTAATTAACATTTTTATATTTTCAATATTTTCTATTTAGGCTGGAAATCGTGTTTATTTTACTGCAAAAAAAATAAAAATACTGTAAATTCCTGTGATATAGCGAAAAATTGGTGATGCAAAATTATATTAATACAAGTAAATAGCCGCAATATAGTGAGAACACTAAATACCTCTGTATTTTGATAGTAAATAGGACAAGGAGTCATATAGGATGAATCCAATTTGGGAATCCAGTGAGCTTTTAAAAAAAATTACCAGTATCTTGACCTTTAAACATTGTGTAGAATTATTGTTCTACCGTTTATCTGTTCTCTCACACTGACCGTTTGGTAATATTTATCATCTAAATTTTTTTTTCAGATAAAGAAAACGTGCTTACATTTTTTTTTTTAAATTTAAGCCATTTGGTAAATTGAATTTTATTTTTTATTTTTAAATTAAAAAATACTGGTGGCTCATTTTTACTATACACTTGCTATTACACTCATTCACACTATTTAGCACAATATTCTCCACCACCAGAACTGGAACTGCTAACTTCTTATGATTAACTGTCCCTACAGACCCATGAGTAATACCAATAAAAGAACCCTCAAATTACTTTCATTTATTTGTGCATTAATAAATCCTTTTAGTACGCTTAAAAGGAGAATTTCCTCATAAGAAAATACAAACTTTTCACTAGGGGTGTGCCGGATCCGTTTTTTCCAACCGGATCCGGATTTTCTTATGCGAAATCCGCCGGATCCGGATTCCGGAATAATCCGGATTCCGGTTTCTCCCGGATTTTGGTACTATTGGTAGATACTTCGTTAAGTCAAGGTGGACTACTACTTTTTGTGTAAGGGAATTCGCAATCGGCGCCAAAAAATCCGAGTTTTTAATTTTCCGATGTGTGTCTATTTATTATTAAATTAGTACTTTCGATATATATTTGAGTTCCGTTCCATTTGGATAAGTGTCTTACGAGAGACGCCATGTTTCTACGCGTTCGCAGCAGGTCATGCAGCTCGCTCAACCTAATTTCGCCATGGGGTTGGCCACGCCCCCCTTTTTAATGGCGGAAGTTGACGATACTTAGGAAATATTAATATATTATCACTATTTACATCAAAATAATTGATAACTTGTGTTTCAGAATGCATTTAAAGACATTTAAACTGGAATGTTTTAATTTGAGCTTTAACAACCCGGTAGAATCCATATTATAAATGATCAGAATTTACCGTGTGCAACACGTTGTCATTGGCAACCATTCACAGCCACTTGCATAACTGTATCGTAGTACTACCTCAGAGTTTCATTCATAAGAGTTTGCCGTGTGCAAAAACTATTAAACCATTGGTCAGGGAAAGCTTTAATTAATTATTCATGTGCCAAAGTTGAAAGTTTAAACTAAGTCTAAACAGTATTTTAGTGATAAGGCAGGGAATGCGTTGCCTTATATAAACTATATAGTCATTGCGCATGACGGGATTGGTGGAATGAGATCACAGAATGTGGAGATGCAGTCCATGTTAAAAAATGACAAACCAAGTCGTACTTTAAAAATTCATAACTTTAAAACTACAACAGCTAAAAATATGATTTTGGTGTTATAATTCTTTAAAAAATTACATCTTTTCAACTATGCCATTGGTTTATTTTTACAAAAAGTTTAAATTTTCTTATAAAAGTCCCTACACTATTGGCCACTATTAGCGGTGCTGACTCTAGCCTCTGGTATGTACGGAATATTAAACATTAAACAAGCTCAACGCTCGAAACAATCGATTAATGTATCGTGATCGTGTGGAATTCGGGAAAGAGAATTACTTTTATTTCAGATTATGATCCGGTGAGTCACAAAATCTGGCAAATTCCGAAATCCGGTATATTCCGGATACATGTAAATCCGGCGGAACCGGATTTCACCGGATAGTGCAAAATCCGGCGGAACCGGATTCCGGCACACCCCTACTTTTCACCCATTTGTCAGTTATTTAGAGTTAAAGACATTCAGCTAAGTTTGTCAAATAAGTGAACATTGTATAATTTTTACTTTTGCAAAGCTAAACTTACCAAGAAGTCTTTGCAGTTGTAATGAAGAACTGTGATCCATTTGTATTTGGTCCAGCATTAGCCATTGACAGTAAGCCTGCATATACAAGTAAAATAACTATAAATATTAGCATCATTTAATTCTAATTTCAATCTAAGCTAACAAAACATGAAACAAACAGTCTGGATGTAAAAATGTCTACCAATTCATATCTAGAAAAGAGATGCCATATACTGAATGGTTCCCAAAGTGTATGTAATGGGCAACCTAGGAAGCCACAAAATATTACAATATTCATAATTTTATTTCGATTTTCAATTCAATATCTTCATAAAACACATCTAGAGGACCGGGTGAAAATTATTAGCGCATCACAAGAGTATGAAGGCATTTTAATATTAGAAAATCAAAATTTTTCTTAACCGTAACAGAATAAGACCAACCTTCTTTGACGTGTTTCCTAGTAAAGTTTTCATCTGCAAACTTTTCACCATAAATGCTTTTGCCACCAGTACCGTCTCCTCTTGTAAAATCACCCCCTTGACACATAAATCCAGGAATGATCCTGTGGAACTTTGAATTTTTGAAACCAAATCCCTTTTCACCAGTGCAAAGAGCTTTGAAATTTTCTGAAGAAAATAAAATAATAGTTGAAATATTAAAGAAACCAAAGTTATAATTTTATAAATGCACAAAAAACAGTGAAACTAGATATGTTTAGGCTTAGAAAGAAAAAGACAGACAATATCTAAGTCTAAGTATTATCTAGCTGCCTCTATAATATATTATAAAAAATTTAAGATACGTAAATTTTCATTTTGATTTCGTCTATCATAAGCAAATGAAATACTTTCAAAAGTGCAATATCCATAAACTTACGCGTTGTCTTTGGGACATCACTGTCGTAAAGCTGGAATGAAAAAAAAAAAAGGACTGTAATATGGCCTCGACCTACAAAAAGCAGCAAGAAACAATTTACTTGCATCAGACCTGTTTACCCTCAAACTCCTAAAATCATACATCATCTCAAAATCGTACAATAGAGCATCTTAACAGAACACAAATTAAAATACAGCAAATATAATGTATACAATAACTACTCGCATCGCGTGTCTAATGGAATCAGTTATTTTGATGTCAAAAATGGAACTGAAGGTAAACAGTAAATGACTGATGTTAACTGCAAACTGCGGTCACTTTGTTTTGCAGATGTGTATCTGCGATAGACATCAATTAATATTTAGGTGAATGTGCAGATCACATCAGTCAGTCACTGGTTAAAATAAAATCACTGGTTAAATTTAACAGTGGTTCAAACTCAAAGTCTGATAACCATAAAATAAAATGCATTAACATAAGAATTTTAACAAATTGGGCCGTCATAAAAAAAACAACAAAAAAAAAACCAAACAACCAAGTAACTTAAGATTTTTTAGAAAAAGTTGTTTAAAAAATAATAATAAACATCCATTATGCTTATTTCCCGTTAAAAAAATTACGGTCTGATTACAACCACAAGGTGTAAATGGGTGAAAAATAATAAGGGTAATAAAAATCGTACAGCTGTTTTGTGCGCTTTTAAATTTCAAAGGTCCTATGAAATATGTCAAAATCTAATATTGCTGCATGTTAACAGTTGAGAATGCATTCTCTAGTTATCTCCGTTTCGGTAGTCTCTGCGGTCAGCCATAAGAAATAATTGTCATAAAATTAGGTTATACAAAGCTTGGCACTTTCTCCGCCAGCGATAGAAAAACGAGGCCTGCCGAGCGACGATCGCTGTGAACATTTAAATATACAACTTTTAAACTAATAAAGCTAATGCAATCAAATTTTCAGTAAACATAGATAGTGTTAAAGCACATATAATAGAGTATTAAAATATATCAAAAGCATTTAAAATCATGCTTTACAAAATTTTAAAATGTCATGTAATCTGTCGACATTGTTTCGGCTCCGGAGGTCTAGCAACACTTCATCATCAATTGGTACATTAAAAAAAAATAAGCCTACATTGTCAATATCAAATTGTTTTTTTTTTGTTGATCTCCTCCAAGTAAATACATAGCACAATTACAGGGAATGATGACTACTAATTTATGAATACCGGTACATGTAAATAATGATTCAATATTTTTAAATAGGCTACACAATGTTCTTTATTATATGTACACTTATAGCTGATAATAACTAGAAAATTTGTATTCGTTTATTAAACTTTGGGGCTTAGTATTAATAGTTAATAGGTATAATTATTATTATTATAGCATAGATTAGTAAATGGTACCGGTACTGAAAACTTAGTCTTAGTGGCTAAGCTTAGTAAGTTAGTAATAGTAGAATAGACTTTGACCTATAAATTATAGTTAAATTGCAGTTGTAGGTCTAGAAATAGTAGGTGGAAGCAAACTTAAATTAGATTTTATGTATATTTTCGATTTCTGTATTCTAAAATTACAATTTACTTAGATTTATTCAGATTTTAAAAGATTACGGAATATTAAAACTTTTTTTTTATTGATACCGAGAGCGAATTTCGTTTCCGGTGAAGATACAAAATATGAGAATTTATTTTTTCCTTCTAGTGATGGGAGGGTGACAAAAATATGAACGGTTTATTATTAACCTAGAAAATAGAATTTGTACTATTTCAAAGTTATTCCTCAGTCAATTTGGATGCTTAACTCGATTCTTTAGGTTTCAATGTTGTGCAATTGCTGAAACTGAGCATTTAATGCATATTTATAGCTTACCGCAGACCTGTTTACCCTCAAGCCCATAAAATCGTACAATCTGGTCTCAAAATCGTACAATACAATATCTCAATAGTAAATAAATAAAACTACAGTAACGCAATAGACTAATTATGTAAACCCCCCCCCCCTTTCCGTTGCACGCAGAAGTTTTTACGACCCCCCCCCCTCTTTTCCCTTAATTACAATAATAAAAAATTAGCAACGTCCATTACATATTATGTTACAGTAAAAACCCCCCCCCCCCTTTCCGTTGCACGCAGAAGTTTTTACGACCCCCCCCCCCTCTTTTCCCTTAATTACAATAATAAAAAATTAGCAACGTCCATTACATATTATGTTACAGTAAACAAAATGTGACATGGGTTTTCACCACTGGTGATTCATCCAGCCCACTGGTTCACATAATATATGCTACATCGGACTACATCGCCCTGGATGCTCGATGTCCTTGGGCAGGGCCATGAAAATATAACGAAGAGCAACCGCGTGAAAATCGTCTATAGAAAGGAACTTAAACAGTCAATTCAACTATAAAAAAAACCATTTACACAAAGATTAAGGGCGCAATAAATTATCCTATTATTTTTACTTTTAATCCAATGTGACATCTTTCAGTCCAGTTACCCAGTTGAGTATCTACTGTTTGCAGCGCCAGATGGCGCTCAGTGACCTACATACGTGTTATATTTATTTTTTTCCCACCCTTTATTTTTATTTTGGTATTCGCTATGTCCAAGTGCACTTGTTAGAATGTCTCGCAAGGCGCCTGGTGAAAACCTCATATTGCACAGGCGCCGGAAAAAACAAATATTTTAGAACCACTAGCGTAGCCCAATGAAATATATGTCATGCGCGCATTGAACATTCGGTAGACTTAACACCGTACTGTAATTCTTCTACTATTGAGTATAGCTCGCCAGTTGATTTGTGAAAATACCCCTTGAAAACATCACGGCTCTAATTCCTACTACACATTGGCTGGTATTTGACACCATTCAAGATAGAAATATGTTATTATTGGACTTTCAGAGTTTCGGGATGACAACGTTGTAGAATTTTTTAAATAACGCACATACTTTCTGCCGAGGACACCCCCCCCCCCCCCCCGCACACACATCCGAACTGTCATCACGAAAATCTGGCTTAACCCGTGAGAGAGGCAGTGCCCCTCCCCCGACATCTAGCTGAAAGAAACCCTGGTAGTGTTGTATTAAAATCGTTGAAGGCATAGAGCTGATTTGCGAGTTATCAAAGTATTTTGTAAATGTCGCTGACTGGATCTTATGAAATACCGGTATGCCCCAAGCCCAAGGCTCCACTGCACAACAGTTGGATCATCTCTTTTATTTTAAGAACCATCTCTAGTTTTACAATCGCCCCGGTTCTGAGGAACAAAATAATTATGTAACAAAACTACGTCACAAGCTTGGTTGCAGTCAAAGGCGATGGTGAGTGAAGTTGTCGCTAGGGCGACTAGTCTAAATATTACTGTTGACGCAGCCAGCTAGTTCACTGTGATCCCATCAATACGATACATCACGGTTGTTAATTTATATCCTTTGACACTGACACCAATCCCCTACCCATGCGTGTCTCGTATGCCCCAATTTCTGTAATCAACAACCCCACCTCCCCACGAGTACTTTCGAAATATAATAAGGATGGTCCCAACTTTAAAAAAAAAAATAATAATAAAACCAATCGTTTTTCTCGTTCGTGTTCACTGCCAGATCTTCATTAGAAAGGGCTAAAACGTCCAAACCCGAAATTTAATTAATTTTTTTAAATCGGGGGAATTTTTTTTCCAATGTGTCTCTGAAAATTGTAGTTTTGGAAGGTCTTGGCGTACAATCGTAAAAGACATCTAAAAATCGTACATTGTACGCCAAAATCGTAAGAGTAAACAGGTCTGTTACCGTATGGTCAAAGTGACAACAAAAGAACAGAGATAAATCAAGTTGGTCTAAAGATATGTGCGTCACCAGAAGAAAAATATTTATCGTAATTGATGACAAAATAAATGTACAAATAGGAAACTGACGTAAAACGCATAAAACCCAAGGTCACCATAGAAGCGATTGTAACATGGCCACTTCAGTTTTCTCGTCTTTTTTCCGTATGCGCAAACTGAATATAGCTATATCGTAGTACTATCTCAGAGTTTCATTCATAAGAGTTTGCTGTGTGCAAAAGCTATTAAACCATTGGTCAGGGAAAGCTTTAATTAATTATTCATGTGCCAAAGTTGAAAGTTTAAAACAAGTCGACCCTAAACAGTATTTTAGTGATAAGGGAATGCGTTGCCTTATATAAACTATATAGTCATTGCGCATGACGCGATCAGCGGAATGAGGTCACAGAATGTGGAGATGCAGTCCATGTTAAAAAAGGACAAACCAAGTTGTACTTTAAAAATTCACAACTTTAAAACTGCAACAGCTAAAAATATGATTTTGGTGTTATAATTCTGTAAAAAATTAGCTCTATTCAACTGTGCCATTGGTTTATTTTTACAAAATGTTTAAATTTTTGACCAAAGTATCTACAACATAGGGATCGATTTGGGTTTCATGTTAGGCATAGGGATCGATTTAGGGTTCAGGTTAGGCATAGATAGAATACACCTATGTGTTAACCAAGATGGCGGCCATTGAGAAAATAGTGGCAATCTTAGTCAAAATTTACCCTAATTTTCTCAATCGCTGCAGTTCAGTTGAACAAAATAATTTTTAAAATAATCTACCAATACAATGTAAAAGACATCTCAAAATCTTACATTGAACATGATAAGAGTAAACACGTCTGCTATTTGTTTATTTTATTTATGCTATTTTTTCTGAACAGATAATTCTCTATGGTCTACATGATTCTAAATGATAAATGAATCAATTGTTTAAAACAAAAAAGTTACAAAATATTTTGCAAACCTTTCAAATATTGGCTCATTCCAAAATAATGCCTGGGTCACAGGCAATAATTAGCAAAATATTAACCGGTATTGAGGCTAATGGCACTAATTTCACTAATGAATGATGCAAAAAAAAAGTAGTAAGTAGGTCAGTACTATAACTATAGTTTTATAGTAGCACTAGTACTAAGAGGCTGAGGGTTAATTACCGACACCGTAAGAATTGTTTCACATTGTATTAAAATAAGTTTTTATTCAAGGTTAAATTTGAATTACCTGAAACACAATTCTGCCTAGTGGCTGCTTGTCGATGTTTATATCAAAGTAAACTTGAGACATTTTGCCCACTTGGTTTGAAACTAATCGTACACAGTAGAGCTTTGAAAGTGATGCCTGCCTAAAAATGCCGGCGACAGCGGGAAAAGACATCACACGTGCTAACTCTCCACCCCAAAGCAATTTATAATGACGTGACATGCCAAGTTGGATTACTATGTATGTTTGTGTTTTAGTATATGTGTGTGGGCGCGTTAATGCACATGGATGTGCATAATTAATATAAAGTTAATTGAAAATGTATTTACAATAATTATTAAATGTTGTTATTGTATGTTTTATAAAAAAAAAATTACATCCGCAAATCGGTGAGATATGAAAATGTTCACTCCATGGGCCATGGTAGTCTAGAAGTATAGCATTTGCATTACTGTAATTGGTGAATACTGTAGCATTTATCAACATTTTTTACCATACGGCACAATAACTGTTAAAACTCTGCAACATCTCATTCAATAACTTTAAATAAAAGTAAATTGATTGTTTCGGTGAAGATGATCATCCAAACAATTGTTTTACTATTAGTTACATTTATAAAGAACCTTTTTGAAGAAAGCGACATTTATAAATTATATCTGCTAAGAAAGGGCAACATTTACATTTCGGATACGATCCAGGAGCCACGGGTTGTCGGGACCGGTTTAGAGGGCCATCAAAATTATGACCTCATCGCGTCTTAGGGGAGGGGTCACATTTTTGTGACCATGTGTTACGAGGAAAGGGGAGCAGGGGTTACATTATATGACGTCACATAAAAAGCGGAACATTATTGAAAACAAATTGCACTTAATATTTAATTACATATATTTTAACATTATTCTTTTATACAACAATTACATTTATTTTCAAACGGCGCTCACCATCGTAATTACTGAACAAATCAGTACAGGGATGTGAGGTCCGAAAAATGTATCTGATCAAGTTACAGGACTCAACGGAGGAGGTGTGTGGTGACACTGACTGTCGTGAGAATTTATATCGAAATATGGAGACCGGAGTCATAGAATAAGGGCAAACACATGAAGTGATATATGAAACGTAATATGACTGGGGGTGGGGGATAATCTTCGTAAATGATCAAGGGTGGGGATCTTAACATTTTGCAGTGCTGTATACCCTCTCAATTCAAAAAAAAATTCTTCTATCCCCCCTCCCCCAGTGTTACTAAAATTTAAAAAATGGAAATAATAAATTATTAAGTTACTGTTTAACTTTCTAGATCCAAGAGAAAGAAAAAAAAAATGCACAAATACAAATAATGTCCCAAAAAATCCATAATACAAACATTTCCGTCTGCTAAACAAAATGCATAAAAAATTTTTTTCAAAAGGCAGCAACGATTAGCTATAGTAGCAAATAAATTCAATTTGCTGGGTCTTCCATAGGGGTAATGCTGCTTTCATCCCTGGTTGTTAAGAATTACTGTTCTAGGGAAATATTCCTGACACAGATGCAGTAATTTGATATTCATGCGAAATGATTGTTTAGGGTTTGTAAAGGACAGTATTGGACAGAGTGATTATTAATTGTGGGAGTGGGGTGGTTCAAAGGATTGTGACGTAACTTTTGAAAAACGGGAAAAGAGGGGGGGGGGGCTAATTTTTTGTTTCCATTTGTGATGGTGGGGATCTCAGTGGAAAATCGGCAAAATTTGCATGAAGTCATTTATGAATGGCATCAGGGCCGGCGCTAGACATTTTTAGGTTGGGTGAAAATAGGCAAATTTCATACTCTGGGAAATTATGGGAAAAGTTCCAAATTTAAAAAAAATTATTTTAACAAATTTTGCCGCCTTCGGTGGTTTGGGCGCCTCTGTGCGATGATCACGCATCGTACCCGCATAGAGCCGGCCCTGTATGTCACGACCCCTTAGCGGATTGCCATTTTAGACCATTGGGTATTTTCATATTATCTACCTTAACGGAAGGTCTTGCTCTTTATCATAAACCACACGGATTTAAATATAAAGTATTATTTATGAGGGACTGCTTTCAAGTCATGCAAAAATTAATTAAACAAAAAGGAATTCCCGTTCTGAAAACTGGGCTTCACTAGCTTTATTGACATCTTCAAAATTATAAGTTTTACGTTATTAATTCAAATTTAACTGTTGTTTATTATTTATTATATTGAATTGTATGCTGAAAATAGATCTAATTGAAAATTCAGCTAATGGGCTTATCTTTTTTTTTTTAAAATCATTTATATCAACTTCACTTTAGTTCGTGGCTGGCTGCCAATTTTTTTGAACGGCTAATTGACCCACTTTCCGTCAACCTATCGAGCTGAAACTTGGCACATAGATGACAACAAATTCTTTCAAATTTTCACAAAAACCCCACAAATAAGTTTTTCCTGTTTTTCAAGGGAAATGTGATGGAAGTATGATGACGCTGATTCCAGGAAAGAAAATTCCCGATAACTGCTCTAAATGAGATTCTTTAAAAGGAATAGTTTGGTGCGCAATATTTTCTTTTGTTTTTTTCTGAAATGGTTTGTGAAATAAATCCACGGTTTAAAAAGCGGGTGGCACGTACGAATATTAATATAGTTCAGGGACCTGAATAAATGTGCGGTTGAGAGCCTTGGGAGGGGGTAGCAATAATTGGGATTCTTACAAAGAGCGTTACTTAAATTCATTTAACTTAAATGAATGTTTTGTAAAATTTTCAGCGCCCCCCCCCCCCCCCCCAAAAAAAAAAAATTGCTCTGTAGTAGATTTTATTTAGGATTTATACGGATAACTTTGTTTTTAGGGTTTCTTAAATTTTAAGCTATAACATATCTTGTTCCACCAATTAAATATGAAACTTAGATAATGACAGAATCTTGGCGTCAAGAAGAAAAAACAAACTATATAACAACATATATTTTAACTACTCTACAGTACAGTGATACATTTCGATGCCTAATGACTATCATCATAAAGAGACGATGACATAAAAATCGATTTAATAATTTCATCGGAAAACGAGAAGAATATCTAAAAAAACTTTAAAAATAATTAAAAGGAAAAAGCCAACGGATAAACACAAATTAATATTTAAAATACATTGGATGACACAACGTTTCCAAAACGCAAAGGATACTTAAGATTATTTCTTTCAGTACAATACTTAGCTTCCCTAAACAATGTTGAGTGTGGGATATTATTTTATAGCTTACACGTTTTAAAAAATCAGGCAATTGAACTTACCGTTATTTATAAAGTTTCTTTTGCCAAACAAACAAAAAATACTAATAAAATTCTTTTTGTAATATATTTTTATATAGATTATTTTAAAATGATAAATTAAGTGTAAAAAAAAGATGTTAAAAAAAAATGAAATGAGTGTTGCTTACAACAATAAAAGAGTGTCGGTCTTTTTTTTTTTTTTTTTTTTTGGCTCAAGAAGGTTTTTAAAAAAAAAATTTTTTGACTAAAAATAAAATAAATAGTAATTTTTGATAATAAATTTCTAATATATATGTTTTAATATAAAATAAAATAATAAGCTGAATAAAAAGTTAAACAAATCATAAAAATTAATAATTCCAAACCAATTAGAGCCCCATACAATTCAAAACGAGGCAAGAAGGGCAATATGTTCGATAACCTCGGCCTTGCACAAGATTCTAGAGTGGAGGTCAAGGCTGAAAGAGGTTAACACCCGGCATAAGGAAGGACGTAAAAGAACACAATAAATAAATTAATTCACTAGGATAAAACTTTTGGAAGATGGGCCGCGTATATTTCGATATCACAATCGATGGAAAAAATGCTGGACGTATCGAAATGGAGGTATTCATTTTAATTATTTAAACTAGAGCCAGTTATTGCATCTAATAAATATACTCATTGTTTTTGAGTGTGTATCAACCAGTGAGTGTGAGTGAGTGTGTGTAGTAATGTGAAGTGTAGCACTTCACGCCACAACTTTGGGCTCCCAACTTTGAAACTTAGCAAGTAATCAATTTTATGAAAAACCACAAAGCCCCTGGAGAAGACCTCATCACAGCAGTTACCCTTATTAAATATGGAGGATGAGCACACCTTCAGACTCATCTAAAATTTGGCAAGAAGATTAGATTCCAACAGACTTGGGTTACTTAAAACTATACTTTAAATATCATAATATGACTTTACTATGACTCATGACTAAGTTACTAACTTAGTAATTAATTTATGGACAATTTTATGGTGGTCCATGGGTCAACAAATTTTTTTCTACATTTCTTAAATAAAATTTGTATTTAGTACATACTTATTATTCACCAATAGAAAGACAAAAAAAAATATTAAGAATTTGTTTGACTTTTACTTTTATTGCAAAAAATATATAATTTTATACCAATGACCAATGCCAATATTGACAGTTACGCAAAATGTATCAACAACACCAAATGGTTTCTTAATATCATTATCAAAATGAAACTTTGCACTCTCATGAAGAATCCAATTGTTTAAAAAAAGACACCCAGCTTACTGTGTTACAACTATTGGCGCATCTACAAATGACATACATGTTGGGTCACATAAATTTTGGAAAATTTCATGGGACAGCATAAGTGGCATAGGTAAAAAAAATTATTAAAAGATTTCTGTCTGACATATCTGAAAGAAGGAAGTGTCATTATGTAGATAATATCAGTAGCATGGAAAGGTTGAAGCCTGTGGCTATAATACTTTTTCTCCTGATACAATTGGCATTCCTAAAAAATCTGAAGAGGGAAACTTAAAGTTGAGAAAAATGAAAAAGAAGTCCAAATTTTTTTTTTTTTTAAATTGAAGACTACATGAACATTATAGGATGCATATACCATACAGGTATACCATTCATAATTGAAAAACCATTATAAAAACACAGATATAAAATTAATAAAGTCATGTCCTCCTGTTTTAAAAAATCAACCCCTTGTCCTTAATAAAAATATGATAATAAAAAATTCTTGAAAAATTCTATGTCATGCCACATTAGTTAAAATATATACAGATAGAAATAAACATGTAACATTTCCCCCTGAGTGTGCCAACTCCCATTATAGAACACATCAATGTCTACTACCTCTGCAGCTTATCCATGACTGTTGGTGGTGATTGATTCAGGGTGGTAGTGTATCATGCAGGTTGAATGTCTTTTTGTGAATGTTGGGTACATTATTTAATTCGAAAAACTTTCCCATACCAGTACGCCCCATCCAGTCAGTAATGATGCAGCCACAGCTATTTTGTTGACATCAAAAGTTTTGCCATTGCATATAATTGACATGTAAGATGATGGGAAGTCACATACATTACATACGACTTCTAACATTAAAAAAATACTAGTCCAGTACGATTTTTTTCATCACTATGGACCATGAAGTGTCCCTACTTGCAGAGTCATAGTGGGCATGAAAATTTTAGAAAAAGGCCCTGGTGGGTATCTTTCTGCATGATAGATGAGGCAGAGGGGCCTACATTATGATGATATTCAAAAGCATGAAGTTTGTTCTTCGAAGCAGAAGATGTCACAGATTCTTCAGATCTTGAAGCTTCTGGTAAAACTGGTGGTGAAGCTGGCGGTGAGGCCGGTGGTGAAGCTTGAGGTGAGGCTGGCGGTGAAGTTTGAACCCTGGTATTTTTACCCATTTGCGCTTTCTCTAGTTGCTTGAATCTCTTTGGCTGTGATTTTCTGTATTATGAAGCAAAAAAAATATTGTTTTTAATTATTGGCTTTTGAAAAAAAAAATCTATATTAGTATTAAGCCTAGCCCCTAGTCCTAGGCAAAGGTAAATAGAATGGTCAGTATTCATTGATTATTGTTAAAAAAAATTCTAATTAAATGGTAAAATTTCTAAATTTATTTTAGTTTTTAGTTTTTAAAAAAAATAAATTACGAAATTCTAAACTTTAGGCTAATTCAGTTTGTTCATTCATTGACATTTATCATTATTACCATTTCATAATCATAAATGTTGTCATCGACAACAAAATACATATTTATATCACACCAAATTAGACACGTGTAAGGACACAAACGTAAAGAAAAAATGTTATTCATTACAATTTTGTATAATTAGGCATAAAATGATAAAGTAGCTTCAATTTGATTCATAAGCCTACACCTATTACATTATTACATGTGTGCGTTTCGTAAAATAATACTAGTACTAATAAGAAGGCCTAATAGTGATAATGATCACTGTATTATTATTATACTAAACCTAGATCAACATTTGCTGGAATGTCTAAAACTAGCTAAAACTATTCATTATAAATTACATCATGCAATAATTAATTCAACTTACCTTTTCAAAGCAAGAAAATTAGTTCAAATTTGAATTTATTTGAAGACTGCAAAAGTAAAGTTGATCAATCGATAAAAGGTTACGCTAACTGGACGCAATGATTTTGGGAGATGGGGATTGCATTGTGGGATAGATTTGTGACTTGTTGATCAAATCTAAAATTAGCCGACCAGTGATATTTGCGAATAAATGAAAATTTTACATCTCGACCAATAAGAAAATTTGTTTGAGCGAAAGTGTATAGGGTTTGCAGAACAAAGAGCTCCCGCCAGGCTTATTTCTGGACATTTTAGTGGGCGATACCATTACAGATTAGATAGGCTAAGCTTTCCATTGATACCAAATGCGCCTAGATAGTGTTGAACTTGCATTTTAAAAAGCAAAGGCAAGGGTCTGTTTTTGTCTGAATTTTTCCCCCGAAGTCAAAATTTGCTCTTACCATACTATTATTGTTATAAAAATGGTAAAAAAACAAACAAAATGTTCCTTAGATGTTTATCTTGTAAAAATCTCATTTTTGATTAAAAAAATGATATAAATATCAATATTTTCCCCCGTGGACCATCTTAAATTGGCTGCGGCTATTCGGACTCCAGAAGAGTGAAGAATCTGCGCATAATGCCGAGCGTTATCCGCTGACCAAAATCTTCCAATAACGTAGAGCTTATGCGCACAGCTGTGCACATAATCACTTTGTTAGACTAAATGCTACTTGGATGTCATTTTTGGTAGTTTATTTTAGTTAAACTGAAGAAGTAAGTTTACAAACATATAGTCCATTCAATTATCTTTCATTTGATACCAAATTTTGTCTTACAAAACCCTACAATGAATAATATTTTAAATATATTTTAATAAACCTAACCTCTCACTTTTGAATTCCAGGTCTGAATAGCTGTAGCCTTAAATTTAACTAATAACCCCGCCCCAATGACAATATGTGAGAAAGTTCCAAATTTCAATGCAAGAACTACAGAGAAATTTCCTATTAAACGTTGCATACAAAATACTGACAAAACTAATTGCCAAAAGACTACGACCGGTACACTGACTGAACAAATACTAAGTGACTTCCATTAAATTCAGACAAAACAGATGCCTTTTTCTTTTAATATTAAGAGAAATTTTAGGAAAATAATAATCCCAGTACATAACTCTATGTGGACTATAAAATGGCATGCATCAAAAGAAAATATGATATATCTCTATGAGTGTTATGAGATTCTGCAGGAGTTTGGCATACTCGACAAAAACTGACGTGTTACATTAAAAAACTCAAACAAAATTAAGGCTCAGGGAGAATTTTCAAGGGAATTTCAGATTAGATGAGGCCCTTGACAAGGACACTCAGTCTTCTGTTTGTATGCAATTTAACCTAACGGAGAGATTTATAAAAAACGTACATATTGACACCCGAGGAACAACAATATACTTTCTGAGGGAAACCCAAGACACACAACCAATAGGCACTCTCTACCATTAACCCCTTCAGTATTTTGCATATGCTAATGACATAGTATGCGCTGTTAAGGAAAAGTAATAAAGACATATCACAAGCCTTGAATTAAAAGACGCATCACTACAAGCATGACTGGAAGTTACAAAATAAAAAACAATGCCGGCACATGGCTATGTTAGAAGAACAGACAGATCAAAACATTAAAATTAGAAACCACACTTGAAAAAGTAAATCAATTCAAATACATACCTAGGATCTTAATTAATTAAAAAATTTAATTACTTAGATAAATTAAAGAAAGAAAATCGTCAAGAAAATGGTCATACTTCTGTAGTCAGAAAATACTCAAAGTAAAAAAACATTACAAGAAAAACAAAGAAAACGGTAGTCTGATCAGTTGTAACATTGGCGAATGAAACTTGGACCCTAACAAAAATGGTAGAAAATCTATTTAGCACATGGGAGAGAAAATTTCTTCAGAAAATATATGGACCAAAAAAGATGATCTAAAATTGTCTTTAAATTATCAACAAAAGTAGAATTATTTAATTTTTTAAACATCTAACTTGATGTCATGTTGAGGTTTTTTTTTTGCTTCTGTACTCAAGTTTGTGCTTGTGTAGAAATTTATTTAATAATAAAATTAAATATATATTTTTTAAATAATTTTATTTTCCCAGCTTTACAGCAATGATGTACCCAAAACAGCTGGTATGTAATTTTTAAAATATAATTCTATTCTTTTTATATTCATGAGTTATGACTTTATCTTACCCTTTATTTACCATTTGTCATCTTCATTTGTTGGTTTCTTCCTATAAAGGTTTCTCATTCTAACAGGCAGTTATGATTTGTAGCATTTAAATATCAAAGAATCTTATTATTTATTTGATTTATTTTGATTATGTTTGAGATTAGTATTTTATGTCTCTATATGAGAATCTAATGGTGAGGATAATTTATACAGAAACAAGCTGACTAACCCTTTTGAGAACATAGGTTAATTCAATTATAAATACCAGTTTTTGGTTCTGTTGATGAACATGAAAGTTTATAGGCTAAGGCTAATTTTATTTACCAATTTTTTTTCTTTGAAATGCTCTACATTGTACTTTTATTAAATGGTTCCGGAACTGTAAATGTTTATTACTCGCACACCACACAGTATATTTGAACTTATGAGCTTTACTTGAAAAGAAACACCCATTCATATGCATAATTCTCATGCTTTTCTCAACATGACGCATGTGATTTACTTTATAAATTTAATTTTCAGAAAACTTTCGTGCTCTGTGTACTGGTGAGAAAGGTTATGGGTACAAGGGGAGTACATTTCATAGAATAATCCCAGGATTTATGTGCCAAGGTGGAGATTTCACAAACCACAATGGCACTGGAGGAAAGAGTATCTATGGGAATAAATTTGCTGATGAGAACTTCAAATACAGACATGAGGGGCCAGGTAAGGCTTATTAGAAGACATTTATTTCATAACAGGATAGTTTTTTTTCAAAGGCTACCTCACGGAATGGGCTCTATATTAGTTTTGTTTTATTAAAGTGCTTGTTTTATATCATTAGTTATTGACTATTTCTGTAGCATCTTTGAAATACACTCGCTAGTCTAATAATTTGTACATATTTTACTAGGAACATTGTCGATGGCAAATGCAGGCCCCAACACAAATGGCTCCCAATTTTTCATCTGCACTGAAAAAACTGATTGGTAAGATTTTTAAATTTTTAAATAAACATTTATGCATGGAATGGACACTGTATTTCATATACATAGCTGGTCATTATACTTAATAGACCAAACAAAATGATGGAAACTATTCATTTGATATTTCTAGCTAAGTTACAACTAAATATTTTTAGCTTAAGGTGAAAAATGAGGTTGCAAGATGGTAAACTCAATAATTTTGTAAAGGCCAGCGATATATCGATTTCACTTCATTAATTTAAATATAGGAATCCATATTACTACAGTTAGCATAATTAAACGATGAATTATCTATATTTTTGGAATAAATTCATTATATGAGTCCATTTTTGACAATATATCTAATGATCTGTTTTATTTTAAAAAATGACTATTGGAATTTAGCTGTTTTCATTTAAATGTTGTAATTTATTCATTTGGGAAATATGTAAATGTGAAGCAATGTTTGAATGCATGCACAGCTAAGAGGAAATTATTCATGCATTTTTCTTGTTGCTATGTTGTATCTTTTTGGATAAAATGTTAGTTTTAGAATGGGGTGGTGCATTTTTTTTTTTTTTACTTTTAGTTTTTGATGGAGGTTGGACTCCAATCAACAGTTAATTTGAAATTGACAATTTAGAACGCAAAGCCTGCCAGCCACCCATTTTAAAATACAAGTTTATCTTAAAAAAAAAAAAATTATTCATGCATTTTTCTTGTTGCTATGTTGTATCTTTTTGGATAAAATGTTAGTTTTAGAATGGGGTGGTGCATTTTTTTTTTTTTACTTCTAGTTTTTGATGGAGGTTGGACTCCAATCAACAGTTAATTTGAAATTGACAATTTAGAACGCAAAGCCTGCCAGCCACCCATTTTAAAATACAAGTTTATCTTAAAAAAAAAATCTCTTAATTGGATCCTCATTGATAGAAATAGTATTATTTGCCAGGGTGAATACTTTATTTAAAAAAGGATATTCGGCCAAGGTAGATGTCTGATTCAATTTCCGGTTGTTCCCTAACCCAATGTGATTATGACACACTACAATAAAAGTGCAATAGTTATAAACAGGAAAGGGATTCTTGTTGCATTATGAAGTTTAAAAGTCATCTTAAAAAAAAAAAAGTTAAATTTTGATTGATTTAGACTATGTAATATATTTGTAAGTGTAGATAGATCAAAATCAGCATGATTTTTTCTATTTATCTGACAACAGCTGGAATATTAGGATGCAAGATTTCAACCAAATGATATGTTATTTTGTTCTATTTTCAGCATATATGATCTCTCTTTTACAACCTTAATCACATAAGATGGCATTTTTAAACATTTTATTTACCTTCATGATTTTCTTAAAGGTTGGATGGCAAACATGTTGTATTCGGCAAAGTAGTGAAAGGTTTGGACGTTGTCAGGGCTATGGAAGCATGCGGCCGTGAAGATGGCAAGCCTAAAAGTCAGGTAGCCATAAGAGAAAGTGGGGAATTGTAGGCAGTAAATAATTGTCTCCAAGGAATTTTTTTAACATTGTATGCAGCAGTGATGTTACCTAGAGCCCATTGAACACTGGAGTTCTCCACTTGCAGTTTTACATTTTGAAATATTTATATGCTATTGAACTGAACATCTTTCTTTAGCTTTATGACTTTATGCTTAAAAGAACAAAAAAGCTTGATCTGTTTTATTCCAGTATTTATTTTTGTAAAACAAATGTACTGTCAGGAAATTTATTTGTCAGGAAATTTATTTAATAAATTTCAGACTTGTTTGATTGGTAATGGAATCTAATCTCACGTCGGCTAGGTTCACAGCAATGTTAAACATTTTATATACCTATTTATCTTTTAGGCTTACATATGTAAATTTAAAAAAAAAAAACATTATACATGCTTAGACAATAATTTTTGTAACACATTAATTGTAGTCTCTTGAACTTTGATCAGACTGGCAAGGTGTCTATTTTTCCTATGTCTTTATAATTTTAGGAATATTTGGTGTCAATTTTCAAACTTGTGTTCATGAGTTTTTATATATATAAACATGTTTTTTTAACTATGAAAATGGTAATTGATCAAAAACTAATAATTGAAAATGTAGATTAATGATTTTTTTCTGTGAAACAATATTGCTCAAACTGCCATTTTTGAATGTATGATTCCAAAATTTTGTTTGTGTATTTGTTGAATAGCCAGGATCATTAATATTTTTTTTAAAGCACATCTGCTGTCTCAAGTCCCTGTTCAGTTGAGAACATCTTCTACCATCTCTTTATTTACTCGTAGCCAGAGGCATGATGTGATGTACTTAACTGTTACAAAAAACACAACATAAAGCTCTACCAGCCATCCCAAGGTTTTAGTACATGCCTCCAGTGGCATGTTGGCATGTACCGGTATCAACTATTCATTCCTTTATTTGGTTCAAATCATCTTGGTTTTAGGGTACATTGTTTTATTTATCATGGGACATAATCCTTATCAACATGATAAGTAGTTAATACTGTTAATATACATTTTAACAAAATGGAGAGGAAGTTCTTTGTCTTTGGTGTAAGTTTTGTTTTTGTGAAACTTATTTTCTTCAATAAAGGTCAATTTTGATTAGTTGTAAATTAATGTGTTTTTCATTCATTACTTTGACTCTGATTTTATTAGCTAAAATATAAAAACTTTTCTTCGTGTTTTAGTACTAACTATTGCAGAATAAGCTATTCCACTTCATTACAATCAACGTTCTTTCAGACTGGTGTATCAAATTATAAAATAAAAGCGACATGTATTCTCCATCCGTCAGTGCTATACTGGGTAGCTATAATTTATATTCACTTGACCTTCAGAGCATGAGTTGATCTTCCCTCTCCTCCTGGCACCTTCAGCTTAAGCTGTCTCTACTGTGTACTTTATTTCATGTGCATCTCCTTAACAAAGCGGAATTGTTTTTTAATACCAATCATTTTTAAATTTAGACTTGCCCACTTTTACAATTAATTACATTGATGGTAACTAGACATTGCAGTGGTTTAAAAAAATGGGGTACGTATAATAATCTAAATAAAATAATACACTCTGTGTTAGTTGCTAAATAGCATGTTATTGTACGACTAGAACTGTCGGTACTTTAAATGAGAACAACAATTTAATAGATTTAAAACTCTTCCTTGGTACCCGGTAGTAGGGGTAGTGAAATTTTTGAGAAAAATTTGAGAAGTTGGCACGGGCACTAAGCAAAATCGGGCTGAATACTGATAAACCACCTGCTTGAATCACCTGCCGATTAATTATGTAGTTGGTGCGGAGATGCGTAGTGTATTTTTAAGTTTAGGTACCAGTAGATCAGTTTTATTATTTTATAATTAATAACAATAATTATTAATACTATATGTATATAGCTTTAATTAAGGTTACAGGGGTATGGGCATTCTTATAATTATAATTTGGTTTTCGTGAGTGAGAACTGGCCCAGCGTCACAAATGCTTACTCCACTGTATGATCGAGCTAATCACCAAAGACAGTCAGAATGCACAATAAACTGGTAAGATTGCACAATCAACCCTTTAAGATTGCACAATTAACTCTTTAAGATGGCGCAATCAACCAGTAAGATTGCACAATCAACCGGTAAGATTGCACAATCAACCACTAAGATTGTACAACCAACCAGTAAGATTGCACAATCAACCAGTAAGATTGCACAATCAACCACTAAGATTGCAAAATCAACCACTAAGATTGCACAATCAGCCACTAAGATTGTACAATCAACCAGTAAGATTGCACAATCAACCACTAAGATTGCAAAATCAACCACTAAGATTGCACAATCAGCCACTAAGATTGTACAATCAACCAGTAAGATTGCACAACCAACCACTAAGATTGTACAATCAACCAGTAAAATTGTACAATCAACCACTAAGATTGTAAAATCAACCACTAAGATTGCACAATCAACCACTAAGATTGCACAATCAACAAGTAATATCAAAATATTACTCTTGATAAAATTGACTGTCTTAACCAGCTGTCACATAGGCAATTTTCCACTTGGGAACACCTTTCTAATTTGTACAGTGAGAACGACAATGAAATCATTTTCAAAAGCCATATGTCTGGAACTAACGCTAAGAGAGGAGAGTAAGAGAGAGAAAAAAAAAAAAAGAGACTGGAGAACAGGGTGAAGAAATTTGATCACCACATGGTGCAGATCATCAAAGATAGTTTTAAAAAACCTACCTTCGTGCAAATCATGTCAAGCAAATTCTACTGCACAATTAATTTGAAACTAAAATTATATACGCCAGAATTTATTCGTCAATTTTTTTTTCATATTTTTCACAAACAAACCAAACACTCTTCCAAACAATTATTTTGAGCAAAGAAACAGAAATTAAACAAGCCCTAAAAGTAAAGTTTTTGTAATAAATCCTTAAATCCAGCAATGGGGGGGGGGGG